TGATCACTGCACTCAGTGCACATCGGTGACAGGTCGGTGGAGCGCAATCCCGTGATCAGCTCAGAGGTGAGGCATAGAATTTTTGGAGCAGATTTTCTCAAGAGTGCGGAATCTGCTATAGACCTGAAGCGGGTCAAACAAGCGAAAAGTACTAGTTAGTCAAGCTTGAAGTTTGCTTCAGTGCTTCCGCGTTTCCGGAGGTTTTCGTACGGTAAAATCTGTGGTCAACGGGGTATGCAGAACTGCTCTCAGGCGAATGAAACCCTGTTCTCTTCCGAGTGCTTTAGACCATGCAACCCACGGCATATACCTCAACACACGACACCTCAACACGACAGCAGTTCCGTAGACAGTTGCAAGAGATGCTTCAGAATGGTGTAAACGAGGGAGTCAAATGTGTGTACAACTCCTCGGTGGTGCTGGTAGAAAAGGGGAACAGAAAACACCGATTTTGCATGGATTTCTAGCTTTTGAATGAAGTTACCGTAAACCGAATTGTACCCGGTCCTTTGGTTGCAACAATAGTTGATGCGCCCCAGCAATCCCGATATTTCACGGTTTTTGACTTACCTTCTGGATAGTGTCATCACTTTCCGGCATTTGATCTTGGTTTGACGAAAGAATTACAGAGTGTACGTGGACGATAACTTCGTATAAGACCGTTCAGCAAAAGAACGTAAAGTTGACTTGAAAGTCTTAATTAAGCGTGTTTGAGAAGTTGGTATGTGTATCAATGAAGTCAGGATCCAGTTTGCTCGAAGTTCGGTGACACTTCTAGGGCATAAAATGGACCGCGGGGAGGTCAGGCCACGACCGCAAAAGTCGGGGAAGATCTAGGGTTGTACGGTCCCCAAGTCAAAGCTTTTCTTCGGGCAGTTTCTCGTAGAAGTACACGGCAGCTGTTTGGTGAATGATCTCCACAGGTTTGCTGTTCCGCTGTGTGACCTGCTCCTTCAAAATGGAAAGTTTGAATTAAAATTTGAAGTGCACGAGGACTTTCAACATGTCAACGTGTGGATTTCAGATCGGCAACGTGCCCTCAGACCGTCCAAAATCGGCGGAATATTCCCACTCGCAGCGGAGGCTAGTGACTAAGGTGCCAGTGTGGTCCTGAAGCAGAAGGATTAGGTTGACAAATATGCCAGTTGTTTCCCGAATAACGCGGAGCCGAAGTAGTCAGCCATGGAGAAAGAATATTTTTGATGATGTTCTGGGCCCTGAAGAAATGCAGATCATCTTTTCCGGGACAAAGTGTTTGCGTTAAGGCAGACCACAAGCCCATTGAGTTGATCACTCCAGAAGTCCCCGCGAATGCTTACGCGGCCAACGAATCGAATGTCGTACTGGCCACGACACCTGGTGATTGATACTGATCGTCGAATGCCTTGGAATGACATAAGGGATGCACTAAAGCCTCTGGGAAGTGTTACCTGTCCGGTGCTTCCGCTGTACTGTGGTGGTGTTGACAACGGTATCTCTTCTATGCATGCTCTGTGTAGGCCGTATGCTGTCGCTCACGTTAAATTACGCTACGAACCGTCGTGAAGAAAAGCGATGGTTGTAGAAAACCTAGGCAAATTACCTGGATAGATCGCAGACAGTCTAATTTTGTGTGGAACATCAATTGTTTGCAACCCGAGTGTTGATACAGATGCAACGGGAAACTGCGTCAAATGCTTCGAACAACGCTTCTAAAACGGAGAAACCAACTAGTTTCTCCGTTTGTAAGACATTAAAGCCAAGGAGTAAGCCTATGTAAACCTATTTGCGGTCCAAAAGCTCTGGCCAATCCCATCTCATTTATTTTACTGCAACCATCTGGATTTTCTTGGACTGAATCGAACTTTAAACTCAGCAATCAAGACCTCTGAGCTTTCCGAGTGCAGCCAACCTGTCGAAATGGGTCAAAATGAACCAGACCAAATAGTGTAAATCACTTCCATGGTGAAATCGATCGGGTACCAGACATCCTACAACACCTGGGTATTTCCCGGGTAAGTGCAGCTCGTCACCCCACGGATCCTACGAGTAAGTGATGCCATCGACCTTCCAGTCAATAGTGGAAAACGACTCGAAGAGAACTTGGAGATTTTGGAATGGTTTGCAGTATGAATCCATCCTATGCATCATGATCTTCTGTCCCCATGATGAGTTCCAAACTAATGTCATTCTAACACACAGACTGTTGAATCTAACTTGATCTTATGATAATTCCCCCATTCATCTGCTTACCCCGCCTATGTACTTTTGTCTTCCTGATATTCGGGATTGTTGAACCTACGCGTCACTCAAAGTTCCGTATCGGGATACTTAACACAGACAATGATATATGAAGGTGGGATATAATGAATGCATCATCCCGCATTCTAAAGGGCACTAAAGCTTCCGGAGTCCATCAGTAATGTGCCTCCAAAACCTTCCTGGATAGTCCTTGTAGACAACACACATAGTCTGCCGTGTTAACTCTATGCCGATGTACCTGAAAAGCAACGGATCTGATGAACCTTTGGTAACAGTAGCTCTGACCATACAGTACGCAGTTGGCAGAAGGTTCATTGTTGAATCACCCATCAAAGCAGCCTTGCGTCAGAATTCATTAAAAAAATGTCAAAATGATTGCGAATGATGATGGACCGATGTGTTTTATTTCAAGGTGACATTTCTGAATATCAGGCTTCCCAAGGCTGTAACCACTGGTTTGAAAAACACACCTAGTTGCTTATAAAGTGTGTCCCTCCTGTTTTACAGGTAAACGTCTGACAAACAAACTAAATGTGAACTCGTGATATTTCCTCAATTTAAAGGTTGAATCATTCAAAGCGTTTCTCATGCACTCCACGTCGCCAACTTGTTGTGGACCACAGTTTTCCTAATGTTTTCTTGGTACTGTGAACCCAAGTCTGGGTAGCCGCTTGATAGCCTGATGTGCTTAACCGAACCAGAAGGCCAAAAAACATGAGAATCAGCTGATCTATTGAATACTGACGCGTACAGGCGGGTTGTTTGTAAAGCTCATGTGGAAAGTTCTAGGCGGACCAAAAAGTGATACTAAAAGTAGAACTCATCTGTCAAGGATAAGTGGAGAACAACCAATTAAATCGGTCCCACTGAATACGGTTATTCCATCGGCAGTGATGTAGTCCAGTTACGTTCGGAGCTGGTTCTCCTAGCTGGTTCACCGAACCAAAGTGAGCTCTGTTTATAAAAGCATCCAGTGCAGAGGTAACAGGATCTTCTAATCTCTCAATTAGGTTTTTACTCGGAACGTCCAGTCTACAGCCAGGTTCAGAGCCTCAATTGTAAAGGGGTTATGAAACAGACATTTATAACTGACAAATACGTGTGAATCTCTTTTTAGCCCACCGGGGAACTGCACAAATTTTATATTCAGCATACTACTGGAAAAATTAAACGTAGCTGGTTGCGTCCAGAGAGGCCAGCTACTCAGCTAAGATTTCACTGCCTAGTGGGTTCTCGTATTACCAGTAACTTTTGCGCCCATTTCATTACTCCGGTTGGTGGATTCTTTTACCTTCCTAGATTGCACTAAGGGATGGGCTTCCCTTGGAATTCAGACTAAACGAACTGGGAGGAGTACGTCACACCTGATGGATATAACGCCTCGCTCAAAAAGTTACTGAAAACTCTTCAACACCCCCTTACTGGTGGAAAGAGGAAAGTCCTTCACTGGGAAGTCATTTATTAGAAAACAGGAACTATGCAGTTTGAAGTCAGTAGACATATATATATGCATATAGTCTGAACTGAACATTCTCAAGCGTCCTCTTGAACTTTGATGAATATCCTTTCAATATTATACCATGGTGAAGGAAATCTGCAAATCAGTTCCACAATTTCCGTAATAAACTCCACCTTCCGCGCGTGCAGAGCCTGGACTACTCGCATGCAACATCAGTAGTATACGACGCCACATTGGAACCGCTGTTCATTGAGCTCTTCAAGTGAGCATTTCCATAACCTCCGTCAAAACTTGTGTTGTAATTTATTGCACGTGAGGAACTAATAAGTTTCAGTTTACTTATGACACTTTTATGCGTGGCACATGGCGTTGAAGGTACATTTTTGCCATTTAGTCTCACACCAGACCCAGTATGACGGTCACTTTGTGCCTGATGTGCGAGTCTTGACTGTGCTAGCGCACACTGCGCCTTGAAGAGCATTCACCATTGTTTGTCCTTTCTTTGGTTGTTGGTCCTTAGACGCGTGTTCCCATACCAAAATCTTTACATACTTCGGGATTCACCTCATCAGACTGGCATTGTCCTTGGCATGATTTCGAATGAGACGTTTCTCTCTTTTCTCCCATATTCTCCTGTTACTCTTTCGCATTCATCGCTTGCACTCACTTTTTATGTTTGTGACCATGCTCTTCAAAAATAAATGAAAAAATGCTACCAGAACAGCACAGTAATTTACAAATGAATAGACGTCAGCAGTTGCATTGGTTTGTTTTTCAGACGAAAATCGAGGATTACCCCTAACTGATGAGCCCTAAAGTGGACAAAACCGGTGGCGGGCAGTCTAAGGGTTTTCATACCTTTACGCATAGGTTGTTCTGAAAAGAAAATAAACTGCGATATCTCGAATATCGTTCCAAATGAAACATGAGGCGGTCCTTGTGTAGCACACGCAGTCGGAGAACAGTTTTAAAGGGACTTCAGCTTGGATTCACATGAAATCTACGTTAAGATCAACGTGATTTACAAGTGAGTGTATTAGCTAAATAATACGTTCTCAGGGTACTTTGGAATGCGAAGTGGGTGCTATTTGTCACCCTAAATGAACACAACTACCCTGACCGATTTCTCTCCAGCGGTGTGCGTAACAGAAGAAAACAAAACTGACAGAGGCAACCGAATACGAAGACAGTTTTCCTGGTAAGCTCCTACAGGGCTGACTAGTTGGTGAACATGCTGAAATCACACCGAAGCTGTGAAGCTAACGCCTAGGATCACTACTACTTTCGTTTATTTTTAAAGTGCATGGTCACAGACATAGAAAAACAGAATGCAAACGATGAATGCGAAAGGGTTACAGAAAGCTATGAGATAAAAGAGAGAGAAACGTCCAATTCGAAGTCGATGGTCTTTCCAAATCTTTCTCCTCCGTATCTGAAACACAAGGACAAAGTGATGCCCCTGACCACTTTCGCGGCTGTTCAATAATTCATTGCAAATTACCTGCACCGTACAGCCGTGGATCTGTACTATACAATCCTGACCGATGGAGGTAGGCACCATATTTAGAGTTTTGTTTTGTCCCATCCAAATCAAACGGAAAACAGCCTTTCTGACTGTGCCCCAAATGCCACAAAATTTGTCCAAAGCGGCCAGTTTGCTTGCGCCATCGCCATCGCACAAAGGGAACTCTTTCAATCCCTCCAACAGTTGTGCTAATCACCTCCCGGTTGGCAATCACACAAACCCGGTCATACGTCCCCCAGACTGTTGGGACGCGCCCAGACATGGAAAAAGCACACGTGCAACGAGTGACGCATCCCCAAGGTCACGATCAATACGACACGTTCGGAAAGCAGGTGCGTTGGCCGAGCTCACCAAACACGACTTAGCAGCATAAGACCAGCGGAGTGGGGCTTAAAGTGCTCACGACCGGAACACCCCCATTGACTGTACAGAACGAACAAGTGAACGACCGTATTTGGCCATTTAGTCATCCTATTTATTTACACAGAATCTCTGTATGTTTTGTCCTGACAAGACCTGGTAAGCTCCTACAGGGCTGACTAGTTGGTGAACATGCTGAAATCACACCGAAGCTGTGAAGCTAACGCCTAGGATCACTACTACTTTCGTTTATTTTTAAAGTGCATGGTCACAGACATAGAAAAACAGAATGCAAACGATGAATGCGAAAGGGTTACAGAAAGCTATGAGATAAAAGAGAGAGAAACGTCCAATTCGAAGTCGATGGTCTTTCCAAATCTTTCTCCTCCGTATCTGAAACACAAGGACAAAGTGATGCCCCTGACCACTTTCGCGGCTGTTCAATAATTCATTGCAAATTACCTGCACCGTACAGCCGTGGATCTGTACTATACAATCCTGACCGATGGAGGTAGGCACCATATTTAGAGTTTTGGTTGGGCCTACCCAAATGAAACGGAAAACAGCCTTTCTGACTGTGCCCCAAATGCCACAAAATTTGTCCAAAGCGGCCAGTTTGCTTGCGCCATCGCCATCGCACAAAGGGAACTCTTTCAATCCCTCCAACAGTTGTGCTAATCACCTCCCGGTTGGCAATCACACAAACCCGGTCATACGTCCCCCAGACTGTTGGGATGCGCCCAGACATGGAAAAAGTGCACGTGCAAAGAGTGACGCATCCCCAAGGTCACGATCAATACCACACGTTCGGAAAGCAGGTGCGTTGGCGGAGCTCACCAAACACGACTTGGCAGCGTAAGACCAGCGGACTGGGGCTTAAATTGCTCACGACCGGAACACCCCCATTGGCTGTACAGAACGAACAAGTGAACGACCGTATTTGGCCATTTAGTCATCCTATTTATTTACACAGAATCTCTGTATGTTTTGTCCTGACAAGATAGCCGTGTCCCGAGTTCTCTGTCTTCTCCCTATCTCGTAGTCTGGCAGGCTCAGTGCAGGCGTAACCAACAGACGGCCACCAACGATACAACACCAACCCAGACAAGTAGAGGACCTTTGTCCAATCCCCAAAAGAGATTTGGGTCGATGGAACATTCTGGTGTTCATCTCCAAAATTTTAGGTAAGTTCTTATTTTGAGTCGAAAAATCACTTTGTGGGCACCCTTTTTTAATTCAGCGTCTCTGAGTGAAATCGGTTTGGCTAAAAGCAAATCTTGGGTAATAGAAGGAACAAAATGCTAATTTTTATTGTATAAAAAGATGGATTGAATTGTTCCTGTTTGGGGACAATTTTACAAGGGAAATATAAAAAAAATTAAAACCTTCTCTACTCCTGGGTTACAAAAACACGGGAATTGTGGGCCGACCCAAATTGATCGATTGTGATGTTTCGTCGGTCATTTCAGAGGTTGACGAGGAAAAAGTTTCCCAAAATTTAGTTTTGCTGCTGGGCATTCGGGAACAATTGCAGGAAATGTGTTTTTTCACTTTTTGTCTGGAATTAATCATAGCCCAGATTTACACTTGGTTGCTATTTGTAGAACTGGCTGGCAGTTAATTGGACTTTCGTTCCACCGTACATTTTTTTTCACGATACCTGTTCTGAATTTTAGTACAAATCCGGTAGACCTGACGCCGTCTGAGTTGGTCTTGTGTGACTATTTCAATCGCCTCGGGTGGTACTTCTTGTTTTCGACTAAAGCTTTTAAAAACCGATGGTCTGACCTTTTCGTTTTTCGGTGGAGCTTAGAGGACAAACGCAAATTTGTCCAAAATTGTTTTTAGTTTATAAAATGCTTCAAAACTGGGAAAACCTATGTGGTTAGCCAAATGACCATTTAATTCGCAAAACGCGCTAGGTTAAAGTTTTTTATTTTGAGACCTCTACTGCGATCCGTGGGATAACTTGTGAGTGAATAAAGCGATTTTGGTCAGCAGAGCGCCAATAAATGACGAATGATTAGGCATTTGGTGATGAGCATTTGAAACTGAGTTTATTTTGAAAATGCTACGGAGAATGACGTCAGCAAGTGACGATAAAATGTTCCACAGATTGTGAGCAGATGATTGAAGTTTTTTCCCGGAACATTATCTTTTAGGGGACGTCACTCCCCGTAGAAATGCCACAAAGTACTCTACAGCTCTCTCATCTTTGTTGACAACCGTCAGCCCATTCTTCGGTAGTGTTATATCCCATCCCCGTCGCCAATCTGTTATACCTGCTGATTCGCCAATCAGTGGTATCTGCTGCCGACCCGCTCCAGTGCCTAATACCGGAAAAAGGGCTCAGAGAAGGGAACACAACAAATATATTCCAAACAAGGGATTGCTGGAGCGTGAGTGAGTGCCGGTGCGACAGTTCAACGGTCTGAAACTATTTATTGGGGGGACACTGTCTGAGCTTGGCCCAGTGCAGACGCACGCGGTCTGGCTTTGGTACGAGGCTGTGACGTGCCGCATATTGCGGGGGCGTCGTCTGACCTTGATCAATGCTGACTCGCGCTGTTTGGGTTTGATACAAGGCTTTGACACACTGCATATTGAGCGGGCGTTTTCTGTCTGGTCAACATCTAGCGGAGCTGAAAGTCTCAGTAGATTCTTGGCATTCAGGGGTTGTGCTCAGGAATGTGACCTTCCTGATAGGCAGGATTTGCAAAATGCTCACTGATCTTGGCATTCTTCCGAGAGACTCGAACCAGCAACTTTCCGACTAGTAGCATGGCTGCAACTACTGCAGCTGTTATCCAAAATCTGGCGGAACTTGGAGTGACAGCGAAAACTGTGCTTACTAACAAACGCCTGGATGACTTAAGATCACGGACGTGTGAATCCAAACATCTTGTGGTAAATTTAGGATAACTATAGCTGTCCACCCTCGAGAGATCGCACTGCTGCGACCACTTGGCATCGTCTCTTTCTGCATCAGCTATCTGCACCTATCCTGATCACTAGATCTGATAGAAGTCCCGTTCAAAGAGGTCATCCTTTAGGTGGTTATGCAGCTGGCGGTTGAGTGCACGATATTGTGGCTGTCACAACTTCATTCTATTAACCTATAACCTATAACCTTCATCTAGTGGGTCCTTGAACATTACGCTCTGTCAGGTTAAAGAAACCCGACCCTTCGATTCCTGTTAACTCTACGCGCAATAGGGTAGACTCCGGTTTCAAATGGTCGCATGGCCTGAAATACTCTGAATTTTTCAGAAACTGATTACGAAAAGCGATTGTCACTATTTTTTATGACATGTAGATTTTTGGATTCATATTATATTTTTTTGTTAACTCTACAATAGGGTAGACTCCGGTTTCAAATGGTCGCATGGCCTGAAATACTCTGAATTTTTCAGAAACTGATTACGAAAAGCGAGCGATACTATTTTTTATGACATGTAGATTTTTGGATTCATATTATATTTTTTTTATTTGCTCCACATCTGGCAGCAAGATGATTCCATTGTGGCCTATCAGTGTAACGATGATACTACTGATGACTGGGCATGGGAGTAGTAGGTTTTCTTCTTGTAAATTCGCTTTG